TCCATCTGCCTCCGGGCTGAACTTCCCAAACTGGCGTCCACAGAGTGAGCACCGGAGATAGGCAAGCTGTTTCCAATATTTCAGTAGTTCAGAAAGCAAAACAAACGTGACTTGGCTGCCTAGATGATTTTCTTCTGTGGAGTGTGGTTGTCAGCCGACTGTTCTTGCTGAGTGCGTAGGCATCTCAGGAAGAAGGTGATGAAACTGCCCAGTAGGTGACAGGTCTTTCCTTTATCCGACTGATGTCTGGACTCCCGATATTGAACATGTGTGTCAGGAATGCGGGGCTGGGGGAAGGAGAAGTAGGGTTTGGCTAACAGTCACTTGTTTTGAGACACAGTGTGGCTCAGTGGTTAGGTTACAGATCCTGCTGTGCTCCTAGCTCAGGCCTGACGCACGCATCTCCTCCTGACTGACTCCCGTAGCAAGAATTACCCGGGCCGGGCAACTTGGCTCTGCCCCCGAGATCTCGTGTGGACGAGCAGCAGTGCTTCGTGACTTTAATTTCAGTATCATGACAGGGTACTCCTGCCACTCCAGAGATGGAGACACAGGGATTCAGTGTTTGCTGAACTCTGAGTAGGGGGCTCAGCATCTCAGTTTACACCTGGGCGGTGGAGAAGGTAGAGGAGGGTGTCAGAGTGGCATTCTTGACGGCGAGATTCACCTGCGCTCTGTCTCGTAGGCCGTGGTCCCAGAACCATGTCAAGCTGTTGCTCCTTTGCCCTCTGAGGGAGAACTTCTGAGTCGCTTGCCAAAGCTCATGAAACGGATGAGGAAGATCTGCCTGACGTTCATGAAGGAGAGCCCCCTGCCACACCTAGTGGAGAGCCTCGATCAGTTCACAGGTGGGCAAGGGTGGCTTAGAGGGTGGGCACATGTTCTCTGCCCAAGTCCTGGCTCATCCACTCTTTAGTGGAAAGGCCTTCAGAAAGTGACTAGCCTGTAAAATGAGGCTTACAGGTAAATGCTTCTAGAATTGTTGTGGAAATTAAAATGACATCTTCGAAGTATTGGGAGCTCAGTACATATTGACCAGAAGGTTAGCTCGGGTAATTTAAAGCAACAGTTGATGGTAGAATGCACTATACAAGATTGGTGTTCAATATGATCTTTTTTGCTTGTCGGACTATAAAACTCTTAAGCAGAAAAGGAACACTCAGTTTGATTTGGATTGTTTAATGCAGTAGCTGTCAACCTGTGGGTCGCGACCCCTTTGGAGGTCGAACGACCCTTTCACAAGAGTCGCCCGATTTATAACAGTAGCAAAATTACAGGTATGCCATAGCAATGAAAATGATTTTGTGGGTGGGGGTTCACCACAACATGAGGAACTGTATGAAAGGGCCGTGGCATTAGGAAGGTTGAGAACCACTGGTTTAATGATTAAGAGAGAATCCTGTGTGTTTTTCTATTTCCATGCATCTCAGTCCTTGAACTTAAAACTGTTGTTTTAAGTATACGCCATGTCTCCGGTAGGTGAAGTCGTTTCCTCTGTGAGTGAGCTGCAGCGCTTAAAGGTGGAGCCCACGGCCGAGAAGGAGAAGCAGCGCTCTGAAGCCAAGCACATCCTGATGCAGAAGCAGCGAGCTTTGTCAGACCTCTTTAAACACCTGGCAAATAGCGGTAAGGCCTTGCTCCGTGGTAGGCAGGGTTTTTGTTGCTGTTTCAAATTTGTTATTTTAAATGTTACATTGTCCACGTCAATCATTTTTTACTGGCACAGTTCAGTGGACTTCATTATGTTCACGATGTTGTGCATCTGCCACCACGATCTGTATCCATGTTTCATGGTCTCATTACTCTTCACCTAAACTTTGCCCTTTCAAGAGCGACTCCCGATTCTCCCTCCACCTGCATCTCGTAACCACAAGTTAATTTTGGTGCGTGTCCATTTGCCTGATGTGAGAATTTTATACACATGGACTCATCAGCTATTGTCCTTTTGTATCTGACTTTGTTCACTTAGTGTGCTTGGAAGGGGGGGCCAGCCCCCACCACTAATCATGGGTTCAGTAGGCACAATTGTATGGTTATTATATATAAAGATGGTAGTAAAGTCACAGAGAGCATGAGAGATAGAAGAGAGATTGACATAATGGAGTCAGACACATTTCATGGTAGCATGCTCACCTCCTGGATGGCCATGATCTTACCAGCCAGGTCCCTGCACAGCGTGGGCCGCGGCAAGGTGGAGTAGGGACCCGACAGAATGCTTGAGGACCCCGTTTATTGCTAACCAAGGGTTATTTCTACTGGGGGGGGGGGGCGTGATTGCCGGTAACCACACATCACAGGAAGGGGCGGTACAATAGGCATACACATTATAGGAAGGGGATGTACAATGGGCATACGTGTAACAGGAAGGGGATGAGCTAGGGGTGTACACATGATAGGAAGGGGAGGAACTAGAGGTATACATGTGACAAGAAGGGCGGATCCTAGATTCGTGATGGCAGCCCAACCTTGGTCACCCTTGGGCGGGCTTGACCTCTGTGGGGTCTCCTACAAGGAAACAGACAACTACTATCCTTATCAGAAGGGAGTGGGTCCTGCTTGTGGGATAAACAGTGGTGACTGCTTGCTCTAGATGGCTGATAACCCTTAGGGAGAATGACCCCTGATCTACTCCTGATGACCTCCAGGTGTACAGTCATTCTCATGCAGCTAAGTCTGGCAGATATTTGGGGGAGACAATTTGGGAGAAATCCTTCTGTTTCCCACAACTCAGCACAATCTTTTCAGAGTTGGCCCACGGCACATCCCAGGCCTTTAATCTCTGCGTGGCATGGATGATTGCACATTGGATTTGGCTGTTTTTTTGTGAAAGGACATGTGAGTGGTCTCCCTTTTGGCTGTCCTACATGACATCCCACATTGTCGCAGGGACAGGTGCGGCTTGAGTTCTTGCTTTCAAGTCTCGGGCTTAGAACCAGGAGAGGGATTGCGGAGCCCTGCGATAGTCTACCTTTCTTGTTGAGGCGCCAACCGGCTCTGCCCGGCATGGGGTATTTAACATAACCCCCCACCAATTTGCCCGGAGGACCCCTTTTCTCCTTTCCCAGCGAACACTCGGGGTTGCTCATTGTTCTGAGCAGAGCTGTCCCAGTGGAGAGGGTGCGCGAGCTCATGAGGGGTTTTCTTGTCACTTGCTGGAGGAAGTTGTGTGCCCGCTGCCCATTTGTTTACCTCTGGTGAAAGAGTGAAGCCTTTTGCCCAGTAAAAAGATTGTTTTTGGAGGGGTGGATGGGGATCTTTCTGTTGTCAAGTTTTGAGAGTTCTTTTAAGTTTTTTGAATATAGACCTCTATCACAGTGGTCCTCAACCTGCCTAATGCTGTGACCCTTTAAGACAATTCCTCATGCTGTGGTGATCCCCCCAGCCATAAAATTGTTTTTGGTGCTACTTCATAACTGTAAATTTGCTACTGTTATGATTCGGACAACCCCTGTGCAAGGGTTATTCGACCCCCAAAGGGGTAGCAACCCACAGGTTGAGAACCACTGCTCTATCAGATATGTGATCCCCAAGTATTTTATCCCATTCCATGGGTTGTTTCTTTACTTCCTTGATTTAAAAAGCCCTTGGATACACAAAAGCTAATTTTGATGAAGCACAATTTAATCTATTTTGTAATTTTGTTTGTTCACGCATTTAGTGTCTTAAGAACCTATTGTCAAAAGGCAAGCAAGCTTTAGAAATGTGATGCTGAGTCCCAGTCAAACATACACCAATCTTACAACAAGCATTGCATGATCCCCACATAGCTTTCCAGTTTTGTTATTTCCTTTCTCAGAATCCATATTTTTATTTTCATCACTATGCACGTGTTAGGGTACCTGCCCCTCGATGCCGCATGGAAAGCAGTGTTTCTTAAACTTAGGAGCATGCCATCCACCTGGGGCTTTGGTTCAGTCCAGAAGCAGAGCTGTTTCGTTAAGTGTGGGCAGGGCCGAGGTTGCATTTCTCGCCACCTGCAGGGATCGTGTTAAAAGGATCTGACTACTTGGAGCAGCTCAGTAGCAAGAGCACAGGGTGAGGGCATCCATTCTAGCTTCCAGTCTTTTCTCCTTCAACAAAGCACAACAGAACCCACTTCAGAGGGACCCTGGAGGGCAGAGTAGAGGAGCCCCATTGGCCTTCCAAGGTGGGGTCTGTTCTGAAGCAAAGTGCCGCTCTGTCTCCTGCAGACAGCTGATGGGTTTGAACTGCTGACCCTTTATTTCGTAGCTAAGGGTGCCACTGTGCCACTCAGACCCTTCACTTAAACTAATGCTGCTTATCCTCCTAGGTCTGTCATATCGCAAAGGTCTGGCCTGGGCTCGTTCGAAAAGCCCCCAAGAGATGCTTCATCTTCACCCGTTAGACCTCCGGAGCGCGCTGTCGATAGTCAGCAACCCCCAGGAGGCTGATTCTAGGTTTGTGCTCTAATTGTACACGCAGCCAGTCTTCTAAGCCCCCAGGGCTTCGCCTGCCTGCAGGAGCTCTTTGGCAGCCTGCTTGTAAAGATTAAGAAATGTAGCATTTCAAAAAGTGCCTGGCTCAGGATTTGGCACTGGGTGCCCATTCATTAAGTGTTAGTTTTCTTCTTCCCCTTCCTCCTCCTCGTTCATTCCTTTCTTCCAGCCTTTGGTTTCCCGGAGCCCTCCGCATGGACGTTGTGCCTTTGAGACTGTGAGAATGGCCACAGGCCTAGCTGTTCCGTCTATGCCCCGCCCCCAGTACAGGGTTGAATGTGAGCACCGGTAAACCTTTTAGACCGAGCTACTCTGTGTTCATACCCAGAAGTGGTGGGTAAATGGTGGCTTGGGTGAGCTCAGTATGGTAAACCTCTGTATGTGTGTTTGCTTTGGTTTTGTCTTAGTGGCCCCCGTTGGTGCTTTAAATCTGAATGCAATTCAACATTGAGAAGGGGGCATTTTATTTATTTAAATTATGTTTTTATTGACACCTAAACCATATATCATACAATTCAATAGTTCAATCATATCAAGAAAAATTGTACAGTCAGTTTTAGAACATTCCCCACCCTCCTCCCGTGGTTAAATCATCTTTAAAATGAGCTGTGCCATCACAATCAGTTCTAATGCTCCCTCCTCCCTCCCGCCTTTCTTGTTTACTCTCAAAAAACCCCACCCCCCGCCCCCTACCTCCCCTCTAAACCCTAAAGGGGGCATTTTACATAAATAGTTCTGGATTTTAGTTTTTAGGAAATTAAGGCCAAGTGGGTACTCGTCCCCATCTGGTCAACAGTTGAACTCCCTGACTCACTACAGCTCCTAACAAGCCTCTTTCCTTGCCCCATGTGGGCCTTTATGCCTCTGCCCGGCCTCCCCTGCCAAGAGCGGGTGCAGTACACCATTTTTATTAGAGAGCCATATTGGTATCATTCCTTCCTGCACTGTACCGCCAGTGCTGAGAATGCAACGCAGCCTCGATTAACGATGCTGAGTGCCTGACTGAACTCGGTCTTCAAAGACAGATCTACGCGGACGCCTGGCTTTAGGTCATGGCCAAGCACACCACTCTGTCGCGTCAAGATCTGAGCTGGGAGATTTTAGTTTGAATGACGCAAACTGCGTTGATTTCTTTTCCAGTCTGCTCACAGAAATCTCATCGTCGTGGGATGGATGCCAGAAGTATTTTTACCGTTCTCTTGCACGGCACGCCAGGCTTAACGCAGCCCTGGCATCCCCTGTCAAGGTAGGCTGCCTCTCTTTGAGCTGTAGGATTCTTGGGCCCCGGCTTTTTGCTGACACCATTAAACTTAGTATCACTTTGTACTACATCAGAGAACCTCTGCCTTGGATTAAGTTCTCCCGCACAGCTTCTCAGAAGGACCAGGTGTGTAAGGAAGAGTATGGAAGAAGCACTTTAATCAAGAAAACCTTTTTACCCTGTGAATTGAGGAGAGACATTAGTAACGGATAGTTTTGGGCCCCAGAATAGCAATGGTCTGTGGCAGCAGAATTTGACAACAGCTCACAGAGCTGAGCGTGTCCCTCTGGATGAGCAGGGATGAAAAGTGTACAAGCAAGGGACTCTTGCCTGGAGAGGGGACCGCAAAGTGGCTTTCCGCGGTGTGTCTAGGGCGGTAGTTGCCGGCCGCACCTCAGCGTGGTTTGCCTTCCCCCATGCAGGAGATGGGCCTGGGCAATGTTGAGCGGTGTAAAGGGTTCTCGGCCCACTTGATGAAGATACTTATCCGACAGCGGCGCTCCCTAACCACGCTGACCGAGCAGTGGATCATCCTCAGGTATCTGCGGACTGGCTGGATGGGTGGTGTGGACTAGGCAGAACTGGGAAGTCAGCTCGGAGTTGCTGCACGAGGTGTTGAGTCATGAGGGCCAGGAGGCAGCTGGTATGGGCAGTGGGTTTCTCTGAGCTCCAGCTGCAGAAGACAGGGAATTTTAAAGGCTGGACCATACCTGGGTCTGGGTTGAGGACCTTTCTTACTGGAAGTCTGTGTGAGCTGAGAGGTGGCATTGTGGTGGTGGCCTTGGGCCATCCCAGTCTGACACTCAGATCCGATTGGCATCTATTTCCGTGTGGTCAGGCTTGTGGGAGCAAAGCGTGGTAATGCACTGAGCCCCACATAGGCCCCCAGGGGACACAGAGTTAGACGATGAGAGCAGTTAGGGGGGCTGTCATCATCAGTGGGTTCTTGGCTGAGAAATACCTGGTCTTCTCAGACTGTAATTCCTTTGACTTCAGCCCCTTCCTTCTGCCCCATTCATTGGGGTTTATCTAACGAAGGACTAGTCATTTATTAGAGCCCGCCCCTGCCCCCACCTAGTAATCCTCCAAATCACGTCAGTGGTGTTGAGTGGGTTGGCTATGAGAGGATCTTAGGTGAGAAGCTGTGAGGTGTGATACCTGTTTTGAAAGACTGGTGGATTTATTTACCAACTTCGGGAGGTATTTTTTAAAGGCTTCTGAGCTATCTGGGGTCACCTTCCTTGGTGAGGGCTAAAAGCCCGTGTGTGGCTCAAAAATGAATACACCTGTTTACTGTAAAGCACAGCCTGCTCCCAGGGTCGGAGGACTGAATGTGTTCTTGTCCCTCCCTCTGCCCCGTTTCTCTGCACAGGAACCTCCTCAGCTGTGCGCAGGAGATTCATGGCAGGCTGATGGGGCCGCTGGCCTCCTCTGTGGCCTTCCCTCCTCAGGACGGCATGCAGCAGTGGACCGAGAGGCTACAGCACCTGGCCATGCAGAGCCAGGTCCTGCTCGAGCAGCTCTCCTGGCTTCTGCAGTGCTGTCCCAGTGCAGGGGCGGCTCCAGGCAGCACCGCCGCCCAGGCCCAGAGTCAGCCTTCTGCTCACCCCCCGGAAGGACACGAGCTTACTGAGGGGCCGCTCTCCAGAGCGGTGCCTGAGCTGCTCCCGGCAGAGCTTATCTACCCGTCCCCAGTGCCCGGAAGGCAGCTGCCCTCTGGCTGCCGGATGCGGAAACAGGACCAGCTGTGGAAGCATTCGACTGCAAGATTGACAGAGATGCTAAAAACCATTAAAACAGTGAAGGCGGATGTCGACAGGATTAGGCAGCAGTCTTGTGAGACTCTCTTTCTTTCTTGGTGAGTGTGTTGTGTCTTCATCTCACCACTTCGTGCTTTTGCGTTTGGTCAGTGTTTAGGGGTGGGATGAAGTTTGGGGGCGGGGCGGTCTGGGGTTCAGGTCTCTGCTGGTGCTCTGACTCAAGTGATACGCCTTATCCTGGCACACAGTTTAGGTATTGCAGGGAGCTTTGTAATGTTTGCTTTGACTTGGCTTTTGGCCCCTGTCTTTCAACACTGGCATTTTTATTGTTGCAGGAAGGATTTTGAAGTTTGCTCTTCGGGGCTGAGTTGCCTGTCCCAGGTGTCAGCTCATTTACAAGGCCTAGCGTCCTTGTTCATTCTTCCAGGGCTGGAGGGTGAGCAAAGGGACCCACAGCTGGCAATAGTTGAGAGTCTGGATTACCTCCGAGGAGAAATCAATAAAGCCACAGCTGACTTTAATACCTGGAAGACACAGCTACTCGCCACCCCCAGTAGCCACAGAGGTAAGGACGGTTGTCATTAAGGGGTGGAAGTTAATCTGGGGATGTCATCGTGCAGATTTCCGTCTGATTTGTCCTCGGGACACATTGCATTTTCTTCTTGAGGTGCCTGCCAAGGGAGGTGTAGCTGGAGCCCGGGGCTCAGAACTTTGTTGTCTCCTTTGAGTCCCGTGCCTTCAGCTGTCATCGAGCCACCTGTTTTGTGGGGCAGGTATTGGGAGGTGGCCCGGGCTCACTCGACGGTGACAGGCCGTCTTCCCGTAGACTGGAATGCTCCAAGCAGATGCTGGACTCAGTTTGACACACACCACCCTCAATATTTACATCTGTGTCATTCTTGCAAAAATTTTTTTAACATAAAATGATAACCTTCTCCAGGGCATCTTTGTATCTAGTACAGTTTGACGGTCATTTCTTACCCCTAATAGCTGTTGGCTAAACCAGGGGGGTGCATACTTTAGAGATGGAAGAGCCAATCCTGTCCCTCACAACATTCAAGAGTCATAAATAATATTTTTACAAACAAATGAAACCAACTGAATACTCTCCTTTAACATTTGTTGACCTTCAGAGGCGTGTGCGCGCGCGGCGCGCGGGCATGCTGAAAGTGGTGCCGCATGTGGCTCATGAGCCGCAGTCTGCCGGCCCCTGGGCTAGACCCGCCAGGGGGAAGGTCTCGTGGGGAGTGTTGGTTATTCACAGCAGCACCTGGTCTGTGATTGATTGCTTGTTGTTTTGCCCTGTCTTACCAGGAAGCAAAACTTTGGGCGAAGGACTTGTAGAAGAATTTTCAGAGCAAATGGAGACGGCCATCCGTGCCATCCTCTGTGCCATCCAGAACTTAGTAGAGCGAAACAGCAAGAAGGCCGAGGAGAGCGCGGAGCCCTTGCGGCCGCAGGAAGACGAGGGTGACGGTGCGTCCCAAGCGAGGCAGGCCGTGCTTCCGCACTCAGTGTTCCAGGTTTTCCGCAGTTCTTCATGGCATTCTTCTCTGAATTACAGCGCCAGCAGCTTTGGAGAGACTGCACCCAGGGCACCTGTCCAAGCTCCTGGAGGATGACTTCTGGGCCGACGTGGGCACGCTGCAGGTGCAGAAGATCATCTCGGCCGTGTCGGAGCTGCTGGAGAGGCTGAAGTCCTGCGGGGAGGACGGCATCACAGCGAAGCACACGGTGCCAGCCCCCCTGCTGCCCAGATGGAGCTTCACCTGGCTCCGGGGGAAGGTCCTGTCGCAAGCCGCCTGAGCCCAAGCCACTGGAAATCTGGCCATTTGTATCTGAGATCGAGGGTAGACTGGGGTGTGTGGACACAGTGGGTTAAGTTTTGAGCTATTAAAATGCAAGGTTGGTGCTTCAAGCCCACCAGCCAGTCGCGCAAGAGAAAGATGAGGCTGCTGGCTCCCATAAAGATGTCCAGTCGTGGAACGTAATGGGAGCATCTCTGCACCCTGTCGGCGGACTGGCTGTGTCCGAATAACTACTTGAGGATAACGGGTTTGTTTTGGGTACATGAAAAAGTCAGTGACGAGCTACAAAAGAACGGCATTGGCTAGCTAAGGGATATAACTGTAGAGAGCACAGGTGCAAAAATGCTAGCAATTTATTATCTTAGGAGTCACTCATATCCTAGCCACTGGCCCCCAAGTGTTTGATGTTAGTGGTAAACGCTGCTGCAGACAGTTCTGAGCCAGCAGCACTCCGAGTTTAGCCTCCCTACCTCATGGCTCTTTGTATGTTGTACTGTAACATTGCCTTCGATGACAACTTTGCCTATAAGCCTCAAACCTGTAAACTGTTTACTTGACGAAACACACCAACAAACAACCCTTGTTAACAAAGTGTGACTTAATCCCTTAGACCTTCAAGTGCCTGTTTGGGAAGTCTCAACCAGCCAGGGGGGTTTGCCTTTGTCTTTTTGAATGGGCGTTTCTTCTTTGGGGCTGGGGGGGTAAAGGCTGGTGAAAAAGGAAGCCCCGGTGACATTTGGTCCCCTCCTGCCTTCAGGTCTTCAGCCAGTCCTGCTGCCTGTTGGTGCGCCTGGTGCCCATGCTGTGCAGATACTCCGACCTCGTCCTCTTCTTCCTGACCGTGGCTTTGGCGACTCACCGCAGCACCGCGAAGCTGCTCTCTGTGCTGGCCCAGATCTTTACGGAGCTTGCCCAGAAGGTAAGGGCCCTTCCCTTGCTTGGAGCGCCGTCAGTAGAAGCCCACATATTTGGTACTTGAAGTGGTTTGGTTTGACGGGCTTCTAATTGGAACCTTCGCAAAATAGCAGGCTGAATTCTTTGAGACTTTGCCTGGTACCCAATTCCCCCACAGCTCTGGAACCTGCAGATCCAGTAAGTCTTCTGGACCCCAGATGCTGTCTCGAGGCTGCTGCTGTCAAATTACACACCCTTCTTCATCAGAAACTTCAGATAGCTGTGAGTTAGACTTGCAGGGCAAATCTTTAAAGCCATGACCTATTCGGACACCATTTCTACATCAGCATGATTAGTAGTGGGGCAGAATGGAGTGCTGCAAGGAGGCTCTTCTTTAAGAGGGAGGTTTGCCGTGTGCCCAGTCCTATTAAAAGCCCTGTGGTCTCAGAGATCTTAGACCCTGGGGATTCAGGAGCCGGAGACTGCCAACTGCCAAACCCCCGAGGGGGGAATCCAGCTCTTGGACTCCCGAGTCAGTCGCTGGCCTCACCGAGCCTCGCTTTTCTCATCTGTAAAACGAGATCCGCCTGTTCTCCTGAGCACATTTGCAAAAACCAGACTTAACCTTTAACGTTTTAAAGTCACATAACCTTCCTGAGTAGTGGTGAAGGAACTTGAAAGAAAGTTAGACCCAGGGCTGAGCACAGATGTGGGTTTAATCACAGCGCTTAATCTGCCGAAAGCGGTTCGTATGTAACTAAGTCGCAGTCTGTGTGCTGGTCTAGGTGTTAACTCTGTTTGCTGGCAGTTTATTGGTAGGGCTTTCTCATCCTCAGATTGACAGACAGATACCTTGATTGCATGCATCTTTTCTTAGTGGGACCCCTGATGGCACAGTGGGTTAAGCAGCAGACTACTAACCGCAGGGTCAGCAGTTCAAACCCACCGGCTATGCCTAGGGAGGAAGACTCCATCTCAGAAAGCCGAAGGAGGGCTCTTCTCTGTCGAGAGTCGATATAATAGTGGGATTGAGTTACTTTTTTCTTATAAAGTGAAAATTTTTGATTGAGGTTCACCCACTCCCATCACAAGTACCAGTAGTTGCTTCCTCTCAGGCTGTTAGCCAACGTCAGATAGCTTTGTTACACTTGACGAGCATTCCTGTGTGCAGCTTTCTTAAACTGCAGCCCACCTGCCTCCATCAGGGTGCCCACCGCCTTGACAACAAGCAGCCAGAGCCCAAGCAGGCCCCGTCTGTGGGCAGAAATGGGTTTGCTTCGAGAGTGGAGGGGGGAGGTCTTACCCATTTGTCTTTGTTTTTAATAATTAAAACGAACGTGATTTTATTTAGGGAAGCTACCTCACATTTTCTTCAGCTTTAAAGGTCAAAGTGAAGTTTCCCACATGTGGTTTCTGTTTCAAGCAGAGTCCCACCTGGGTTGGTAACGCGTTCTGTTCTCTCTCCTCTGCTCAGGAGGTCTCACTGAGAATTGAATAGAGAAGGGCCCAACCCTTTGGGAGCCAGACCCTGGGACGTTCTGCCCTCACTTGAACACTTGCTCCTCAACGGACTGGCCTGCCAGGGCACTGCATTCTATTTTTAATCTTGGGCACAGTGACAAACTACCACATGCCGGGGCTACCACAACTGAAGACCTCCTGTGTTAAAGCCGGGTGTCAAGCTTGGCAACAGTTTTTATCCCCAAAGAGAAAGAGGGTCCAGCGGGCTGTGCTTCCGTCAGAATTCAGATACGCAGCAGAAAAATCATTCCGCATTGCTGTTAACTTTCCTCCAACCCCCGAGGAGTGGAAAGGAAAGCCCTCTTTTTATTGCTTTTGTGTCTTAACTGCTTCCTCCTTTTTTTTTTTGGAAGGGATTTTGTCTTCCCAAAGAATTTATGGAAGAATCCGCCGGAGAGGGAGCAACCGAGTTCCACGATTATGAGGGAGGGGGACTGGGAGAAGGCGAGGGCGTGAAGGATGTGAGTGACCAGATAGAAAGTGAGGATCAGGTATGTTTTCCATGTGGGAAATTGGTGGGCAGTGTCTCAAACCTGACCGCCTGTCTCCTTTCTGTGCGCTGTTTAAACAAGGCATGTATGTTTGTAGAGTTAGAGCGTGGCTTTACGGTTTCTATGTTGCTCTTTGGTTCAGGCGGAAGATACGTTTCAGAAAGGCCAAGAAAAGGACGAAGAGGACCCAGACTCAAAGTGTGATATTAAGGGTGAAGATAATGCTATTGAGATGTCGGAAGACTTTGATGGGAAGATGCACGATGGGGAGCTTGAAGAACAAGGTGTGAGATTTAATTACATTAGTTGTCACGGCATTGTTGTTGAAACAGTAGTTTGTTCAGAAAGGAGCCTACGACAGTCTTTTGGGGAAGGCTGAAACAATCTTACAACTGCTCACAAGCCACAGTCTGCATATGCGCACTCTTGGTTGTCATTGCCGTTAAAATAGTTTGAGAATATAATTTCAAAGTGTCCTATCATCTGTCTTGTTTGATGTATAACTTAGCAATCCAAATGTCTGTCCAAAGCTTCAGTTGGAAGATAGTAACTTATTTTCGAGGAAATGAAAGCAGACCCAACAGAAGATGGGCACTTGCCTCGGCGGCACAAGGAAATAGCCTTTGGGAAAGTAGGCCTTTTCCAGGAAAGGTGAAAGGAACTTCCGATGGATTGAGCAAGGCATGATCAGAGACCAAATCAGAGCAGCCCAGACCTGGGAGCTGGGAGGAAACCTTGGAATCGTCGAGGCCAACCCCAGTGAGGTTGCCAGGTCCCAGAGGAGCAGCCTTCCCTCCGCGCCGCAGCAGCCGTTCTAGCACGCTCCTCTGCCCGTGAGCACATTGCAGGCTGCGCGTCCCCAGGCAGTTTGCAAGCACCGTAGACTACTTCAGTAGGTGTGAAGGCATCTATCTGCCTGTAGTGTATTCAGTGGAAACTCGAATGTGCACACGCACCCCCACCCCCACCCCCACCACACACACACACACACACACACCCGTGCCCAAACACAGAGGCACAGGGCACTTGCAGGAGGGTTCGGGCCTGCCTGACTAAACTCACTGTCTGCCCTTTTCAGAAGAGGACGCTGAGAAGTCAGATGGTGAGGGCGGGGACCTGGACAAGCAGATGGGCGATCTTAATGGCGAGGAAGCTGACAAACTAGACGAGAGGCTCTGGGGTGATGACGAGGAGGAGGAAGAGGACGAGGAAGAAAGCAAAACTGAAGAAACAGGACCAGGAATGGATGAGGTAATCCCTTCCCCCACCTTCCCATTCCAAATCAATCCCCTCTCGCTCTCTCAAAAGATTCAGCACCTGCTCTAGAGGGACTACCTTAGAAGGCCCTAGATAGCATGGGAGAAAAATGTGGAATGAAACTCAAAATCCTAGGAGACCAGGCTTACTGGTAGAACTCCCAAGGCTATGGACTTGAATCCCCCCAACAGCCATCGTGCCTATTGGTAGTGGTGTGGCTTAGACTGCTCACCACAGGGTGGGGGCTCCTCGGGAGAAAGAGGAGCGTGTGCTCTTATAAAGATTGACAGTCTCAGAAACTGTATATGGGGTTGTGAATTGAATCAGATCAGTGGACGTTGGTTTTTGTAAGTGGAACAGTGGCACTAGTGGGGTGCACATGCCTGGGAATAAGCAACCATTAGCGACTGAAGGGGTAGCATTTATCCAGGGGCAAAGTTCAGAAGGGGCAGGAAAGGAGGAGGAATGGAAACTGGGAACAGTGGGCTAGGTGATGGTCCATTGTGGGGATTGCAGACGGTGAGGTGAAACAAAATGCATTATCGAATGAAACCTGACCTACTCTGTAAACGTTTACTCAGTCCACAGTGGAAAGGAAGACTGGGTCTAGGTACTCAGTGGATGCTGCTGTGCACTGCTGGACAGCTCCTGGCAGAGGGGTGGCCTCCTATCAGAGGGTGGCGTGTGGGGAGGGTGCAAGGCTGCCACAGCCACCCCATTCTGCTCACAGCTGCCATCGGGGCTGCTGTGTGGGCAGACCAGGCCCCCGACTGTTCTCTACAGGTCAGAGAGGGATCTTTCTGCAGCGAAGGCCGCAAAAACAGAAGCTACAATGTGCCTGCCCGAGAACCATGTTAGGCAGAGGCTGCCCATGTGACAGCAGTTTCTCTGATTGAACATGTCGTGTCATTTCTTCCTCTGGCGTTTAGGAAGACCCTGAACTTGTGGCCAAAGATGACAACTTAGATGCCAGGACTTCCAACACAAATAAAAGCCAGCCAGATAAGAAGGAAGAGGAGGAAGCAGCAGAAGCGGATGATGGTGCACAGGGCCAAGACAAGATTAATGAACAAGCAGACGAGGTAATGCAGAGTTGAGGCTGGTCCGTTCGCCAGCTCAACATCTCCGCGGAGCTCAGGCTGAGTGGAGACCGTCCTTTCGGTTTCCGCGTGGCACCGAGACTCCTGAGAGTGGCACCTACTGCTTAGCTACAGCGAGAGCCTCTCCGAGCTGCCAGCCGTGCAGATCCCACTGTGTTTCCCAGGGTTTCTGGAAGATGGCATTGGCTGAGATGGTGGCTGAGAGGAACCACCAGTAAAACGTACGCTTGGTTCTGCCACGCACAACCTGTTTATTTTTTCTACCTCGATTCGGAGCCCTCGTGGCACAGTGGTTATGAGTTGGGCCGCAGTCTGCAAGGTCAGCAGTTTAAAACCACCCGCCACCCTCTGGGGGACCATAAGGAACCATGGTCTTGGGAGTGGGGGGAGGCTGGAATGAAGTGGGGAGGGTCGCTAGGACGGACTGTGGTGATGTCCGGCTGAATCATGGAGGTGTGGGGGGTGATACATGACATCTCAGTGAAACTTGGAGGGAGGGTCTCGGAAACTCGGGCAGGGCTGCCCTTTCCTGGAGGGTCCCTGTCTGTCAGCATCGACTGGAGGACAGTGTGCTTGCTTTTATTCCCTCGTTGTTACCTTGCTGCCTTGTAAAGATGTGTAAGGGAGCCTCTGAACAGGACGTGAGAGGCCTCGCTGTGGGTTACTGACCAAGAACAGTCCGCGTGCCGTTTGGACTCAGGAGCTGTCTCGTTCAGAAGCTCAAACCCGACTCCCTCCCTATCTGTCTTCTCGTGCGCTTCCCTGGAGAACCTACGTAGAATGAAATCTGACATTTTAGCAGGAAAGGTCAAAAAATACTACACGGGCACTACTCAGGTGTGCTGGTAATTCAGAGAGTGCAATAGCCCAGCAAAGTACAACTTCTCAGAGCTAATTATTCGAGGGCTTTTGTTTCCCCTCCTTCCAAGTTTTAATTTTTTTGTTCTCTCACTTTCCCCAAAGAGAGACTATGATGAGAACGAGGTGGACCCTTACCACGGCAGTCAGGAACAGCTGCCCGAACCCGAGGCCTTGGAGCTGCCAGACGACTTACACCTGGACAGTGCAGACCAGCCCAGCGACGAGGACACCGACAGTGAGGGCGGGGCAGGTACGAGTGTGAGATACCTGAGGGGCAGTTGGAACTCCCTGAGCGTGAGCAGACGGATGGTCCCAGAGGACGAGCCGGGGGGGCGGGGTCGGCCAGCTCATAAACCAGGCCGGTCAGCTCAGTAAGACATCGTCTGAGTAGCCTTAAGCCCACGCACCAGCAGGTATTTCTCCTCCCTGCGCGGGGCGCCTCCGCGTCCCTCTCCAGCTCGTTCCCCACAGCTGTCCCAGTGCGCCTAGCGCAGGCTCAGGATGGGTTTTACCCGTCGGCTGGTGTAGTGTGCCAGCACCTGCCTTAGAGAATAGTCGTAAAGCGTATCACCTATGTAACTCTCAGTTTACGAAATTACGTGGTTGGCTTCTAACGTTCTTCTCTGTGTTGTGTATCCAGAAGAGAACCCTTTGGAGATCAAAGAAGAACCAATGGGTATAGAAGAAGAGGGTCACGAGGCTGGGGAGAGAAGTGAAGAAGCAGAGGAAGGGCAGGCCGAGCCCGAGCCCGAGGGCTGCCCCAGTGAGGGTGCCACGGGGGCAGAGGAGGAGGAGATGGACATGGGGGCTGACGACCAGGACAAGGACGCTGCCGAGCTCCCCGAAGAAAACTCACAGGGGGAGGAGGAGCCGCCGTTGCCGAAGGACACGGACACAGAAGCAGATGGAGGTGTAGAGAACAGCCCTGCTAACCCAGGCCTGCAGCCACAGGTACTGTGGGGGTCTGGTTTGTTGTCAGCTAAACACAGGAACGAGGATGGGGAGAATCGCCTGGTCTCCTCCCAGGTGTCTGCAGGGTGCTCCTCCCTCCCTGGGGTTCTGCCCCCCAATCCCACCCTCTACACCCGCCTCGAGATGGGCATCTGCCTGCCATAGGCCCCCGTCATGACCTTCCCAGCGTTTCCAGCTGGCCGTGTAGAGGTGACTCGTTGGCCTGCTTGAGCTCCACATGGTCAGCAGTCGGGAACCACCAGCAGCCCCTGGGGAGACTGGGCTTTCTACTCCCGTCCACAGTTGCAATTTCGCAAACCCCCAGCGGAGTGGCAGTGGGTGTCCCTGCACCAGCATGGACTCGCTGACGGCGCCTTTGGATTTCCCCCCAGAAGGAAGACCAGGAGGAGAACCCGGACCCCGAGGAGCAGCTGCCCGAGGCGACCGAGCGGAAGGAGCACGAGGCATGCGGGCAAAGCGGGGAGGAGACCGTGCAGAGCGAGCAGGCTGTGGAGCTGGCGGGGGCCGCCCCCGAGAAGGAGCAGGGGAAGGAGGTGAGGGGCCCGCGAGGCACCAGCCTCTTCAGAGGTGCCCTTCTCCCCTTTGGAACATGGCTTTACCTCTTCTCTCGGACATTGGGTTCTGTGTAGGAGCACTTGGCCTGCACCCTCACCTGCCCCGCTAGTGGCTCACCCCCAGCTACTGCGCGGGCCGGGCTGGGCAGTGTGCTTCCTCCCGGGGACCGGGTGGCGAGAGGCAGCGCCGACCTGAGGGCAGTGGCTTGGGTGACTAAGTGTAGGCTGTTGATTTTATTGCCGGCACCCGCAAGCTCACTCTGTTCCCACAGGCCTCTCAGAGTGTTTGCTGTGGGCTGTATTTCAGTGAGGTGCCTTCTAAGAAGACCTTACGTAGTTGCTAGTTCTTCTAAATGCAGAGGTTTCCGTGAGTTCTCCTAATGCCTTTACGGGCTAGGTAGTACTGTTACTATTTTCTCTATTTTGTATTTGGAAAACAAGATTGAGTGCAAATCTCAGGAGTATACTGGTTAATGGTGAAGACTAGTTTCACATTGAAGCCCCACTTGGCTCCCAGCAAGCGGTTCCTCCCCAGTAAACAGGAACCAGTTAGCCTGCAGAGCACGGGCCGGCTGCCTCCTGGGCCTCCTCTGTGTCGGCCCTGCCGGCCAGCATTCCAGGGCGGGCAATAGGCAGTGACAATGTGACTGAGGAGGGCAACTGTGGGAGAAGTTGGGGAGCATCCTGGCCCAGGAACCGAGGCCTCCTGGTGCCCTTTCCACACCCTCATTGTTGGTTGGAATTCCAGGAACATGGGACTGGCGCTGCAGATGCGAACCAGGCAGAAGGCCATGAATCTAATTTCATTGCCCGGCTGGCCTCACAGAAGCACACCAGGAGGAACACCCAGGTTTGTCACCCTTCGCTCGGCTCCGATAAAGGCGGCATGTAGAGGCCCTTCTTGCCCCACCAGCCTTGCGACTGGAGCCCAACTAGGGGGCTCTCCTGGGATCCCCTTTCCGAGGCTTCCTGCACCCCCCCTCTTCCTGTTCTGGGGTTAATTCATGGTATAGGATGAGTGTATAAAAACCACCCCCCTGAAATCCTCCCCTCGGTGCAGCCCCTCAGCCCCACAAGGCATCCTGTCCCAAACCAGTGCTCCCAGTTCTGTGCGTCTTCCTTGAGGGGTATGTTGGGCACGTGTAACGTGTCGATGTACGTGTACATATGTATGATTGTGTGTTTCTCTCCTTCCTTGCCTTTATTGAAGACATAAAGGCATATGACAGTCATGGTTTGTTTCATCTGCTCCATTCTTTGTAACAGCTGTGTTTTATTACCTGCTTGCACGACTAACCTGGTTTACTTGACCAGTTCCCCAGACAGCGATACTCGGCGATTTTTATAGTCTTTGCTGCCAAAGACCAGGCTCTGATGGATGGACTACCTTGTGTTGCCCACAGAGTTTTAAGAGAAAACCTGGGCAGGCTGACAATGAACGCACCTTGGGTGACCACAGCGAGCGTGTGCACAAGAGGCTGAAGACAGTGGATTCTGACAGCCAAACAGAGCAGGGGCCGACCCAGACCCAGACCCAGGCGGAGGACGCCGATGCCTTTGAGCACATTCCGCAAGGCAGCGACTCTTACGACGCACAGACCTACGGTATTAGGCGTGTGATTGATTGTGTGTCTGCCACGTGTTCCTACAGACTTAAATTTGAAGGAGAGCAAATGGCCTTTTAACCTACTTTCCAAAAAGACGTGTGGAAGCACAATTGGGCTTTACTGACAAGTCTCCATAGCCATCTCCAAATGCTTGGGGGATCCAGGTGTAGAGAAAGCCTGGGTCAAGTTGGCCACGTCCAAACCCAGCCCAGCCTCTGGCTCCTCAGAACTAGCTACTCAGAGGCTCGTGCCTCCCTGCAGCCGCGGGGCTGCAAACCCGAAGGATGTGCTTCCCCCACAGTGGAAGGGGGGGGGGGGGGGGGGGGGGGACGGACCTGCAGAGCTATGCGGGGCTCTCCCAGGGGCTTTGCGCAGTTCCAGCCCTAATATGGAAAGTAATGTGGAGCATATCAGCCCCGTGGAGAAGACACGGAGTTATGTTTCTAACCTGGATGACTTTCCCTCTCCCATTCCCACTTCTTTTTAAAGGTGAAAATAATAATTGCTACTGTGTGTTGAGCTTTTACTTTGACAGAAACAGTTTTGAGCCTTCCGGCCTGACTGCAGCTCCTCTAGGAAGGCTCAGGACTGGACTGTCTCCATTTCACAGGAGGCGAACTGAGACCACTGCAGCAGTAGAGAGCCCCAGGGTTGTGCCAACCCCGCCTGCCCCATGCTCTCGGTTACTACATGCTCCCACCTGCAAGTCGGTGAGAGAGCGCTGCTCTGAGCAATAAAACCCAGTAGGCCACCTGTCAGGCAATGGGTTGCTCTCTCCATCCATAAGGCAGTGGAAATCCTGAGCAGACAAGTTAAGCTGCCTGGCATTAGCAGACTCGTGGCAACGGGAAATAACAGATAGCCCAGTTCACTCATCGTTAACTTTCATCTGAAAAGAATTGGGCTTTCTGTGTGTGTGTTGTTGGCAGATGTGGCCAGCAAGGAGCAGCAGCAGTCTGCAAAAGCCCCAAGCAAGGATCAGGAGGAAGAGGAAGAGCTAGAAGAGGCTCTCATGGACACAGAGAAGCAGGAGCTCAAAGCGGTGCATGCCGAGCAGCTGAAGCCAGAAGAGGTCAAGCCAGGGGCCACAGCAGGACCCACAGGTGAGTCCTACGGAACTCTGACAAGAGAAGCCAGTCCTCCTGTCCCACAGTCTTACCGGAGCAAGACTCTTGCCTTTCCAAAAGATTTACTTTGAGAGGCACACAATGGATTTTCTGCATAGAGAATTTTATTGAGAGTCTCCCAGGAGGAAGAAATGCCTTTCTAGCCAGCAGCAGTACCCCTTTCCCGTATTCCATTACTTCCAGCTATGTAAACAAGGCTGTTAAATATTCTTCCACAAGGGATTATGGGTGAAATCCCTCCAGTGGCTGATGAGGGGTGTAGCAAGGGGTTCTGGGAAATACAGTCCCAAGATATTTCACGGGCTCGGTACATGCTTTGCAGCCCTGCTGGCATAATGGTTGAGTTGGGTTGCTAACCTCGAGGTTAGCAGTTCGAAGCTACCAGCTGCTCTACAGTAAAGAATTCTAGTCTCACACACAGCAAGGTCATCCTCCCCTGCCCTCTGAAGTCATTATGAGTCAGAATCAGCCCCAATGGCAGTGCGTTTGGCTTTGTGGCAGGCTTTGTCCACCTCTCTTCCTTCGCTCCCATGCCCGGTCTCAATAGTCTATCTAGTTTGTTCCGTCCTGACCCAGAGCTCAAGTATAAATCAAAGTTCACTATTTTTGTTTGGAAGCAGAAAGGTATGGGGTAGGAAGCAGTGAGTGCTATTACAGGACTCCATATATCCTTCAAGGAAGGAAGCTTCAGGAAAAATTCATCAGTCTTTTTAAAATGTGTCAAAGGAAGATAGACTGGTATATTTACCCCAGCTCTGAAGATGTTTTCAGTTATGTGAGAACAGACATTAGCTTAAAATGCAGTAAAAAGAAATAGCATGTATGAAGTGTGAAAAAGCAACAGAACTTCTTACAGCTGTTTCCATTTCACAGTTGACTAAATGCTATTTATTACCAGACAGTTTATTAAAGAAGATATGATTTCAAGGCTTTAAAAACAACTATTTTCGGTGAAATACATGTTAAAAGTGCTTGCCAAATTCCCAGGCTCTGTCTCCGCTGTGTTGACATGGCCGTTACATGGTCATGGGCAGCCTTAACTTGGTGGTGTGACAACCCCAGGTTCAAATTCAACCTTTGCTTCTTTCCAACTTCACAGATTGAGGCAAATTATCTTTTCTTTGCCTGTGTAGTCCTTATTTATAAAATAGCACTAGTGTTATATATTTTTATACATGCGTAGTTTAAAGAGTCGTGTATTTCTACAGGCTTGTAAAGGTGTAAGCCTGGCCCTGCCCTTTTTCCCTCTCAGAAGAGCTACTACCACCATCAGCTGTACGTCCAGATGTGTGTGTGTGGGTGCAGGGGGCAGCGGTGGGAGGCGGGTTGAGGGAATAGCTTCAGCCGTGACTCGCGGCCACACAAGACACTGATTCACTGCAGGAAGTAGGTCACGAGCGAGCCAAGGTTTGGGCTCTCAGCTGACTGTCAGGGCTGACAGGCAACAGGGCAGGGGCATGGTTTCTACGTGATTAGGATGATAAATAAAGCTATATCCTGGCATGAGAACAGGCGTTGATGAGCTGGAGATGGAGACCCAAACTGCTAAAGCAGAGGAAGACCAAGACCCAAGGTCAGACAGTTCGCTCAAGGAGACGGAAAACGAGAAGCCCGAGAGAAGCAGAGACTCAACCATTCACACAGCCCATCACTTCCTGATGGACACGGTTCTCCAGGTGGGAGACCGGGTATATAAATGGCTGCTTGTGTGTTGACAAAATGTACTTTGTATGTTGCTTTTAAACCTTAATGTTTTGTTTTAAACTGGTAGACTGTTCCAGGGCACAATGTCCTTATCAAAACTCGTAGGACTACTACTGAGTTACTTCTACCTCGTAGGGCCACTCTGAGTCCAAATTGGTGGCAGTAGTTTGTGGTGGGCTCCGGGGTGGTTTTGTTTCTGTCTAACAGGTGTTCCCCGAGCAGGTGACAGTATTCCCAGTTACCCTCGGGGCCACAGTGAGGGTGGTCAGTATCCTGCCCCTTACCCTGCCTGCTGTGACACCCACTCATCTTACTGGAGACTGGCCTTGTGTGGGGCAGCCGTCGGGAAAACGAAGAGTTTATGGTGGTTAAGTAGCCAGCATTTAGGAAGAATGGTGTAAGAGTTCTTTGTCCTAGTAGTGTGAGTAGATTAATCAAAGAACTCTGTTACATTGACCTCCTCATGGGTTGCTTTGTTTCTGATTGTGTTTTGCTGGGGTGGGTGTAGACATGTGCGAAGGTCTCTTCCTCCAGCTACTCTAAAATGAGAAGGAGAAACCCGATTGTCTGGCGCCTTCTCGTGGTGCCATTGAGCGCTCCAGTTCTGAGCTTCTCTCGTGGAGAGGAGGGAGGCAGCTGTGGTGATAAGTCAGCCAGCCATCCCAACTTGTTCACCTCACCAGTGGCTTTTCTTCGTAGCCCTTTTTGAAAGACGCCAGTGAGCTAAGACGGGAGCTGGAGAGGCAGCTGGAGACATGGCAGCCACACGAGTCTGGAAACCCAGAAGAAGTAAGTCCTTAACACACGGAGAACACAAGTCCAGCCCTGAAGCCCTAGTCCAGCGGTTCTCAACCTCCCTAGTGCAGCGACCCTTCAATAGAGTTCATGTTTTGGTGACACCCCCTACCCCACCCCAAACCATAAAATTATTTTCGTTGCTACTTATAACTGAAATTTTGCTACTCTTATGAATTGGGCGACCCCGTGAAAGGGTCATTCGACCCCCAAAGGGGTATCGACACACAGGTTGAGAACCACTGCCCAAAGTCTATCCAATGCTTTTTTCAGGCTTTGTCTCACACTTCATTCAAACAGTCTGGTGTGCTTGATTCCTGTAACTTGTTGCTGCTTCTGTCTTGGTTGTAATGGATGTGAGAACAGACGGGTCATAAAACCAAGGGGCTGCAAAAGGGAGGAAGAGAACACAAGTCTGTCTTGTGTCATCCTCAGATCAGACTGTCTGGATCATGGCTAGCTGACAAGGTAGCCATGTAGATTAACCAAAATTGTGTGTGTGTGTATCCGTAGTCGGCAGAAAAGTCGTGACCAGGAAATAAGCACTGTTGAGTGTGTCGCTCCAGCCAGTTGGGCTCACTTGTCAATTTTGCTTTTGAAAACATGACTGAGACCTTGATTAAGCGGCTGGATCTGCTGGCACCAAATTGCCCATTGATACCTCCCTTCCCGATGTGACATGTGAGCCGAAAAGGGCCTCCGTGGTCAGGGCTGGCAACTTACTGTCTGCTGTTGGGTTGTTATCCCTTGGAACCATGGGCTGAGGTTTGCTGGATTAGAAGACATTTCCAATCGGTTGAGTTAGGTTGCAGCTTGCTGAGATGGACGCTAGAAAGTTCTGTTGAGAAAATCCACACAGATCATTTTCTACTACTTTGCCCTCTTTTGGCGTAATGACTTTATGAGATTAACTTAACGTTTTTGTCATCACAGGAAAAGGCTGCGGCTGAGATGTGGCAGAGTTACCTGGCCTTAACTGCGCCTCTCTCCCAACAGCTGTGTGAGCAGCTTCGGCTCATCCTGGAGCCCACCCAGGCGGCCAAGCTGAAGTAAGCCTTCCCCAAGAGGTGCACTCACAGGACCTTGGGACAATGGCCGGGTCACCGGTTCTATTAAGCTTGGTACCTGGCCTTTTATAGTGCCAGCTTCTAGGGGGCCACCTCTGCCCAGACGCACAAGTTTCTTGTCCTGTTTGGGGATCATTTGCACCACAGATGAATGACTGTGTCTTACATCTGAGAAAACCTGAGGGGAAAATTGGCTGAATCTTCTTCCCATATGCCTTCAGGGTGTACTTGCTACATGTTACTGACCTCAGTCTTTTCAAAGATGTCAGAAACCATCCTTTTAGAACAGAAAGAATTGAGATGCGTGCTGCTAACAGTTTTCCCTAAGATTGTTATTGTGTCTTTGCTTTCCTGAGCCACCTGATTACATTACTACATCAGTCCCATTTGTCTGGCTGACCTTACTCAGCAGTTACAGGGACCCTCACTGTGCCAGGGTCCGAGATGCTTGATTTGGCTTGTGAGGTGTTGCTAACTGAGCTTTGCTCATCTCTGGGTACGTTTAACAGAGGAGACTACCGCACTGGGAAGCGACTGAACATGCGGAAGGTCATTCCATACATTGCCAGTCAGTTTCGGAAAGACAAGATTTGGCTTCGAAGGACCAAGCCCAGTAAACGCCAGTATCAGATTTGCTTGGCTATCGATGACTCTTCCAGCATGGTAGACAACCACACCAAACAGGTAAGGCAGAGAAAGGAAGTGGCAGTTTGATGAGAAATTAAGGCCAAACTATTTTGACAGGCAACCTGGACGTTTTAAATATGACTTGGTGGGGGCCGGGGGGACCATTTTGAAATACCTGCGAGTATGGTCCCATGTTTGAGAAGATCTAACACTTTTTAAATTAAGAATGAAAGGAACTCAAGGGGGCAAGTTCAGGATTTCTCAAGTCCTGTGGTCCCTGACAGAGGCCTTTAAAATTGCTGATGCTTTTGCCCAGTTGCAGGTTAAGTGAACCAGTGTTTATTTTCCACAAAATGCAGAGTGCACCCCACCATCAAACGCGTCTTAAAGACTCCATGTACACCCATCAGACTCCGGGTGCCCTTGCCTTTTCAAAGTTCACTTTGCCCCACTGTGCGTTCACACCTGGTTTTGCTTACCAAAACAGATCCAAAGAGGATTTTCACTTTGTGGAAAATGGCGAAAGGCAAGGGTAGTGTTTAGCCTTCATTTGCAACAGCGAGCTGTTGAAAGAGGCAGCGCCCAGCGAGTGGTCTCCACCCGCTCCTGCCCCTGGTAGCTGTGAGCAGTCTCTTTGAGCACCACACGCCATGGCTGTTGTAAGTGCGGAGTCTGGGGAATGCCCAAAATACTTTGCCATATAAACTTCCCGAGTTACCATCCCATCAGTGTCCCCACGGTCTGGGAGCCTGGGAGGGTCTGCTGTTACACACTCATCAGGGGCCCGCTGCTGCTTCTGTAAGATGAGGGTTCTACCAAGGCCTACTTCAGACTTAGCGGAGGATTCCGTTAGATGGTTTGGTTTGGGCTGGCCCTCAGGTGCCTAGCACTTGGCATGTGTCTGGTAGAGCTTAGCTGCTCCGATGGTTGACGGGCTCTGAGTATCCACATCAGGCCTCCAGAGCCCCTGGGTTGGCAGTGAACAGCCTTGTTGATACTCCCCTGTGTGACACAAAGCACCCTAACCTCCTGTTTCACAGCTTGCCTACGAATCTCTGGCTGTGATTGGAAGTGCTCTAACCCTCCTGGAGGTGGGTCAGATTGCCGTGTGCAGGTAGGGATTCTTACAATTTAACCCCACTCAGAAGCACTTTTTCACAACGCTTTCTTATTTGTATCACACAACAAAACCGTAATTCTCATCGTGTTTCCTGCCAAGCTTTGGAGAATCCGTGAAGCTCTTACATCCCTTCCATGAGCAGTTCAGTGATTCCACGGGCTCCCAGATCCTGCGGCTCTGCAAATTCCAACAGAAGAAAACCAAGATTGCTCAGGTATGCCTGCAACCCCGGTGTGCCCTGCATAGACACCCAGCACCGGTGCTCCTCCAACTGTACCCACTGGAACAGGCATTTCCCCGGCATCCATTATTAAGAAGGCATGGTGTCTTTTTCTCGGTTCTGCAGAAAACATTTGACTTTGCATCCCTGATTTTCAGGCTCCCTGTGTTTTGACAGGCTTGCAACAGTGTGCAATGATACACTCATCTCCCAGGACCCTGACTAGTGGGTCAAGTCTGACAGAAAAAAACAATGTGAATTAAAGCTAGGGACTTGTTCTGAATGACATAAAAAGTTGTTCAGAACAGAGTCCGGCTGGATTTCTGTCTGTTAGAGAAGATTCCTTCTCTGACTTGGCCTCCATTCTGTTGGCTGCAGTGGACATTTTTGGTTTTATTTGCCTATTTTCTTACCTTGCCAAAAGGTCAGTGTTTGGGGGGCACTGAAGTCTTACTCGCCTGGGGCAGTATTTCTTTTCCTGTGATGTGGCTTACCAGAGCACCAGGAAGGCCATTGCCCCAGGCAACAGAGACTTGCCCGCCCTTCCTGTGTGCGCCCTGGGGAGTGAGAACCGCTCTCTGATGGCCTGTCTCCGGTTTAGTTTCTAGAGTCCTCAGTCAACATGTTTGCCGCTGCCCAGGAGCGCTCACAAAGCATCAGTCCAGGTGAGCTGCATTTCTCCTCCTTTGCTAACGACGTGGGTTCCAGTCTCTGCTCCATCAGCTTTTAATTAGCTACATTGGCATTTTTTACTCATTCAGTGATTCCGAAATTTTACTGAAACACATCATTTTGAGACGGATGGTCTCTGAGAATTAGACACATATTAGTTTATAATTAGCTAGCATATATTGGGTACAGGGAATGAAAGGAACAAGGTATATGCAAATGAGTATGCTGGCTAGTGTGTGTGCCGTTTCAGAAAGGGGAAGGCAAGTGGAGCATCCTTTTAAAACCAGGTGCTCCGACCCCGTTTGAGCGGGGCCTGAAACACTAATCTTTGTCCAGCCCTTTTCAGCATCTCCATCCTGATTACATCACAAGGGAAGTTTCCTGTTTGAAGCAAGTCACTGACGCCTCTCTGGCACTTGCTAAACTTCCCTGAGACAAACAGCAGCCCTCGGGCACTATAATCTATAATCTTTCCTTGGCAAGATTGCACATTAACATTTTCAAACTCCCCATGTTTCTTTCTGTGGTTCTATTTACGTTTGTGATCAACTTCAGGGAAAATAATAGTGCAGGTATTAGATACGTGGAATTGAGAGCAACCTACAGGTAATTCTCATGACTGGATCAATCAGAAACCTGGAGCGATTTCTGGAGTCTTTCAGACACTTTCTTCGAGTGGGCTCCTCCGTGTTGTCGTGTTTTTATAGTTTTCAGGCATAAACGTGTTCTAGTTCTCATTCATAATGCTCTGGAATGAAATTGTTCTAAATCTCATGCTCTCCAAGCCGCATTTGGAAAGGTCTGCTCCCTTGGCAGGACGCAGCCTTGTCTGACTCGTGTACCCAGCTGAAGTAGGTTCCTAGACGGGTGGAGGGTCTTGTTGTCAGTCTCCTCTCTCCCTGCCTGTCATGTTCTATCACAGAAATCTCACAACTGCTTCTGGTGGTCTCGGACGGGCGCGGTCTTTTCCTCGAGGGCAAAGAGAGAGTCGTAGCAGCGGTCCAGGCTGCCCGCAATGCCAACATCTTTGTCATTTTTGTTGTGTTGGACAATCCCAACTCACGGGTGAGTAAGAGCTCAGCGAAAAGTTAACGTTTTCTGGGGACAAAGTGGAGATTGTTTGCACCTGTGCTGTCTGAAGTATGCCTTCACGGTTCCCATCACACGAGCGTCAGGCAGGCAGGCTGGCTCTCGGCTCGCCGTGAGCTCTTTCCTCAGATAGTCTGCACAATTCCCCAGGTAAGTAGTGTCTGATCGACCACTGCTCTCTCCTGGTTCCTCAAGTGGGGCGAGGAGTCATTGTCCCCCCAGACACGGCAAGGACAGAGGGAGTGCTGCTGGCGACCAGCCTCCTCACGCCCTATGCTCAGCCCTGCCGAGGCACACCGGGACTGCAGCCTTGGGGGTGGCGCTTTGCGGCTGTTCCTCAGCGGGGAGGCAGCAGCATGTGCCCACGGGGCAGTTCTGTGCCCGAGGAGCCTCATCTTCCTGTCACACTAAAGCCTGTAAGAGCTCTGCCTCCTCCCTGCTTAACTAATTTTTCCCTTTTAAACCTTTTTTGACAGGATTCTATCTTGGACATTAAAGTGCCAATATTTAAAGGCCCCGGAGAGACGCCTGAAATCCGCTCCTACATGGAGGAGTTCCCGTTCCCCTTCTACGTGATCCTCCGAGACGTGAGTGCGCTTCCCGAGACGCTCAGCGACGCACTCCGGCAGTGGTTTGAGTTGGTGGCGGCCTCTGACCGCCTGTAGGCCAGCAAAGCACAGTCCAAAGTGACGCTCCTTCAGACCGTGGGCCGACTGGCAGGCTTTGGCCCAGGTGCGGCGTTTGGACAAGTGTTTGATGTATAAAGTCACTCAGCAGCTACACAAGTTTGAATTGTACTGTCCCATTCTTGCACATGATTTCAGAGCCTTGAGGAAGCTTTCCTACCAGATGGGCCCAGCACTGGCCTGTCCTGGGAGGAAGGCAACGCCTCACACGGAGGGCCCGGCCTGCTGTCTTCTGCCAGGACCTCAGTCCCGGGCCAGTCCTGTGAGCAGAGGACTGAGGAGAGCTGTCCTTTTGATCCTGCTCCATGCCTCTGCCTTGGCCAGCGTGGAGTGTATACACAAAAGTTTTCTAGAACATCCACGTGTGTGTGTTCTTACTGTGCTTGGTGTGAAAGGAACTACCTTCTTGTAGAGAGGGTGGGGAGCTTTTGGTGTGTGCGCGTGTGTGTGCGTGCTAAAGCAACCGGACATCTTGGGTGACCCAAGTTCTCCATGGAGATGGTACTTGGGCGGTGTACAAATGAAGTGGCTTTTCTGTGTCCTCCACATTGGCTGCTTTGGAGACTATGCAATGAGCGACGACGACGATGCCGTCAGTTAATGTCATTCCCTCAATGCCGCTATCCCCGTGCTGTAGGAATTCATTTCTCCAGTTACGGGAACCACCGTTCCTCACGCTGCTTTCCGGCTGGAGTCAGACATCCTCATCGTTGACACGAAGCACTGTGTTCAGGAGAACGAAGCAGCTCCAGCTATTGTGTTTCCAATCAAAACACACCAGTGGTTTCCAGACAGTTTTCATTCAGCCAAAAAGCAGTGCTTGAATACTTGAAACCGTGTGCGGTTCCCTAGTTCACGTCCTGAGTGTCAGACCATTCTCTGGTATGCCATGCCCCAAGCCGTGATCATCTGTCCACGTCTGCCATCCCATGACGCTGTGAAGTCCGCCACCCTTCTGTGGTGTCACCAGACACAGGCTGCTTGTTTAGCCAAGTGTCCTAACGCATGTACCTGAGGTTTTATCATTATTTTTTATTCTAAAGAGCTATGCAGCTTCTATTCTGAGACCTATTAAAAAATATCTATCACTGTTGATGTAATCTGTGGCCCTTCTTACTACACTGGAGATGTGTGCGGGAATGGTCTTGGGCGACAGCAGTCAGCGGTCGGTCCCTGTTGTGTCCGTGCCCATGGCTGCCGAGCCGCAGCGCTCCTCCACGTCTTCATTCCGCGACCACGGCTGACAGCACCATCCGTCGCTGTGATATGCCTACCTCGTAGCTGAGAGAAAAGGGCAAGTTGGTGGAACCCCAAAATGGTTCATGAATATTCTGCTTTCAAGTGCACACTCCCCCTTTACATGCTATTTACTCAAGCAGGGCCATGGGCCATGGCCGCTCGTCCTATAGCAGTGAGACACGGTGTTCCGCTGCAGCCACCACCGTCGGCCGGTTCCGACTCCCACTGACCCTGTCAGACACGGAAGAGCTGCCCCTGTGCCTTTCTGAATCGTCCGTCTTCATGGAAATAGAAAGCTTCGTCTTTCGAGCTGCTGACCTGGCAGGTTAATAGTCCAGTGTACAACCACTATGCCACCTTTAGGACAATTCCCGAACGGTGTCTGGAGGCAGCAGCTCTCTTGGCCCTGGGGGAGGCTCATGGGGCCTTGGGCAGGAAGAGTTCCAGTAAGCAGGTTATGGCGCTACCCCCCAGGGTGCCATTTTCCACTTGAACAAAGGGTTGGGAAGCACAGGAGCAGAAAGCTGGAGACGTAGAGGGGCTAATGGGGCCACAGGAAGGAAGGGCATGAGGCTTCTGGCCCACATAAAGCAAGTTCCCAAGGGGTCTGGGTGTCATCAGGGTTTTCAAGAAGGCGGCAGGTGACCACATGGAAGCTGACTGCTCCGTAAGTTTTCCCTCTATTCCATTTCCTTGCCCAGAGAGATAAGTGCTGAACTCTAAGGAATGGGCAGTGTGCTTTTGGGCGTCAATATTTTGGACAAAGTATTCTCACTGCAAAACTTTACTGCTCCTTTGGCCTCGTCATCATCTAGTTGCATCTTCAATTCTAAGCAGAAGACCTGAAGGTCTTCCGCCAGAAATCCAGCAAGGCCACACTTAGGTTTCTGGTGGTGCTCAGCCTGGGCGACCAATAAAATACCAAACTCACTGTCGTCCATCGAGTCACTCAGATTAGAACTGTGCTTGTGGGTTTCCCAGGCTGCACTTCTCTATGGGAGTAGAGAATCTCTTCAGAATTCAAATCCATAATGTTCAAAATAACAGGTCTTTTTTTTGTTGGGGGGGGGGGCCCCAAATCAACTTAATAATTTTTTATATAAAGTAAACTCTCTGGTAGCCACAGCTGGAACCTGGGTCTTCTGCACGGAGACTCTGGTGTGAGTCTTCACAAGATGGTCAGTGAATTCCTGATAGGGAGATTTGGAGGGAGACTTGGTGAACAGTCTCTTTCCAGAGGTCAGGGGTCAGATAGCTGTAGGTCTTGGAGATTGCATCAAAGGTGGCTTTGGCGAAGTTGCAGTCATCAATCCCTGCCATCAGCAGCAGCCTTTTGGGCACAGGCTGAGACAATGCCAGTGCCCCTGGGGGCAGGAATGAGATGAATCAGCACAGACCCACAGAAGCCGGTCGGTCACCTTGCAGGGCACTGTTGGGGCTTGCCAGTCTTGTTCCCCCAGTAGCCTCGCTGCACGGGGACAATGGACAGCTTGGCCAGGATAAAGGCCCTGCAGGTGGTGGTGGTGACTTCCTTTGAGCACCTGATACCCAGGCCAATGTGGCCGATGTAGTCCCCAATGGCAACAAATGCCTGCCGCAGAGACAAGCGGTGAGAATCTGCAGATCCTCAGCTGCTCCGCACCAGTTCCCAGGGCCTGTTGTGGCCCCCAAATAACAGTTCTTGTGTTGTAAACCCCTCCTGCAAAGTTCCCTCTCCAACACCCACCCTCTGTACAGACTTGGGAGTTCAAGCTAGCATCTGCCTTAACTCCTCCACTTCCACCCAAAGAAACCAAGCAAGAATATGTAGACAAAAACAAAGTTTTAGGACCACAAACTTCACAAATGGCCTGTATCAAGTTAGTTTCAGTTCTCGTAAGTGGACTAGTCATGTACAGACAAAAAATAATCATAACTACAACTGGTGAGATATTTAACACAAGTACTTTGAAACAAAATGAAAACAATTAGTTGTTGAACTGCTAACCTATTAGGTGAAATTTGGAACCATAACTGGTCATGGGTGAATGACCACATGAATGAGTTTTGCATCACGCAGTCAATGTTGGGAATGTTCGAGAGCTAGTTATTGCAGACTGATGCCCTATTCAGAGTGCATTACATAAAATATCACTACCAAATGGATGTTCATTTCTCTTTGAACCAGTACAAACTGTGATGTTCACCAGCAGTTTCCAACTTGTATGTCAAGAGAACTACACAGCTTAGAATTCAAATGGTTAACTCTTTGGAAGCAAGTTGCCTGGTCTTCCTTCCACGGGTCTTCCAGCTCAGCTAACCAGCCTTTCTAAACAGTGGTTTGCAGCAGCCAGGGCACACTCCTGATTCATTTTGAAAGAGGTTAAGTGAGCAGGACAGCTTGGTAGGATGAGGGCACCAGGATTTCACAAGCAAGGGCAATCTGGGCCTAGGGCTCCAGTGCCCACGCACAGCTCTCGTGCTCAGTAATGGAAGTGAGCGAATGTTTAGGTCACATCCTAATTTGGCACAATCTTGAAAAGCAATACTGTCAAAATTCACTAACCCCACTCAACCTATGGATGTGTGGTCTGAGTTGGGAGGAAAAGAAGAGGACTGAAGAAATACGAGTTTAAGGGTATAGTTTCGTTATATAAAGAGAAATGCTTAAAACCACAGTGAGGTCGCCTGGTCAGGCGATCATTGTAAATGGCACTCGTGAAGGCGACCTCCCACTCCCAGAAAAGAGCAGGGCGCACACGGGAAACGCGGTCATTACCAATAAGAGTGCTTTCAGCGATGTGTTTTAAAATTAAGAGTTCTACTCTGCCCTGTGGGGTCGCTGAGTCAGCTCAGTGGTAGCGAGTCTTGTGTGGGGCATTTAAGAAGCTGGAACGTACACTGACCTCGCTTGTCCTGGAGTCAGTTCGCGTCCCGGGAGTGTGTAGTTCCCAACGGCGGCCCCTAAGGTTTTCCCCGGTGCACCACCTTCCCAGGAACGGATGGGGCAGAGAACGAGGGGTGAGACGGACAGTATTGAGGGGTTCCCCGATTCCTCCCAAGGACTGCCTTCCACTCCATGAGTTCCTAGCTACGGGTCCGCACCGTTACCTCCTCAACACGATTGAGCACACAAAACTACTTCCGCACCTCACTGCGGGGCAAAGGGGGGTTGAGGCTGATGCCTTCTTGCTCAAGGCTCCGAAGCCGCTGAGCGCACAGGTGGCCTCGCCCCGGGCCGCAGGGCCCTTCCGGGAGCCGGGGCGCCGCGCCGCGCCCCGCCCCCCCACTTCCGCTCCTGCGCGCTGCGGGCCCGGGGGCGGGCCGGCCGGCTGTTCGTCATGGCAGCTTCTCGTTTGCCCCCGGTGACCTTGACGCTGAGGCAGGTACAAGCGGCCGTCCTCCTCCCCGCAGGGCAGGTCCCCGGGGATGAGCGTATCGACTCTGGCCTGCTCCCGCAACCCGTCTACCGGGCGCGTCTTGGTGGAATGGGACGGACCGGGCCTGACGCCGGGCGGCCCCGCGGCTGACTGGCTGCGGGATGTTGGAGCGGCCGGTCTCGGGGATGTGGGACGCGAGGCCCGTCCCGTCCCGCCGCCTCGGCTGCCTGCCCCACCGAACGCACTCGCGCCGCCCCGGGCTCCTGCCTGTGCGAGAGCCAGCCAGCCTGCCAGCGAATTCTTAAACTGCCAACTTGGGGAAAGTGCTCTTACCTGCGAGTGCAGCCCCCGGAACGACCTCTTTTCTCCCTTGTGCGCGGCTAGCCGCAAGGTCAGCGGTGTGAGACCACCAGCCACTAGCAGGAGACAGGCTACCCCTGCCCTATGATGGTCATTAGAAATCAGAATCTATTGGATGGCTTTGGGTTTTTTGGGGGGCGTCTACTCGGCTCACTTGAGCTCTTGACACCCCTCTTCATAGGTATACTAAAGGAGTAAGCAAACAGCAAAAGGAACTCTTTGCAATTTACTTATTTTTTTAAAAATTAAAGGTTTTTGGTTTTGCTTTGAAGACTGGGGGGGACACACCTAGTGATTGCTCACCTGCGGTTGCCGTCTTCTCTCCCGGCACAGTTCATGAGAAGACAGCAGGTTCTCCTCTTGTACAGGAAGATTTTGCAAGCGATCCGCCAGGTCCCAAATGAGTCTGATCGCAGGTACCTGAAGGACTGGGCAAGGGACGAATTCAAAAGGAACAAAAGTGCCACGGAAGAGGTGAGAACAATGGAACAGTGATAATTTAAAAAAATTTTAGGAGACCAGGTTTACTAGTCAGAGTGGTGAGACACCCATCCCCACCCCTAGGGCCCTTCCCTTTCAGATCTAGAAATGAATTTACCCTGGTGTTAGAATGAGCAGCATGTAAGATCAAAAGGCATTTATGTAAAGACAAAGTTCAGAGGGCTGGGGGAGGCGGAATGGAAACAGACAACACTGGGAGGAAGTAGGGTAAGTGATGGTAGATTAAGTTGATCACAAACAAAATATGTATACTGTAAATGCTGAATGTGAAACGTGATGTGAATCTTCACAATAAACATGTTAAAGAAAAATTGGGGGGGGGGCACGGAAAATCAAAACGACTTATCTCGATCGCTGCTCTAGATGTTAATCCACTTTAACATTTGAAAATTTTAATATCATTGTTAGATCTACACCCCTAACTAGTATCACTGATTTTATACTAATCTATAAGAGAGTAAGAAAGATTGGAAAGTTTTATGGCAGGGCGTTTGGGTGGAATGATGATTGGACAACGGAGACCCTTACTTGTTGAGTTTCCCAACAGGCAGCACTCCAATGGCCAGCACTGGTTCTTGCTGTGTCAGGTAAAATGCACTCGGTGAGCGACAGTGACCCTATTCCACTTCTTCTGCAGGATACAATCCGGATGATGATCACTCAAGGAAACATGCAGCTCAAGGAGTTAGAAAAAACACTGGCATTAGCAAAATCCTAACTATTGCATTATTCTGGAGAAGTTGCTCAACCTCCGTGTACTTGACTGAGTATAGGCACTATGATGGAAAAACCCAATGGAATTGTTTTTATGTTCCGTGCTTGGGCAAAAGAACATACACCATGGACCATGTCATCGGGTGAAAGAGAAGAGTATCAGAACAGTCCTCAGTACCACTCTGAATCTGGGGACATTTTCTGGGTCTGTGACAAGTGTCTGGGAGAGGTAAAAGCCAGTGTAACAAATGGTCAGTAAGTAAATCAGGGAAAGGCAAATGAGAATCCACAGTAACAGCCACTTCACCCAGTCTAGGATGTGTAAAATGAAACATTCCAAGATTCCGAAGCGTTGGCGAGACTTTCATCGAACTCTTAGAGACTAGATACGGCCGGTGGGAATGTAGATGGTAAAGGCACTCTATGTGACCCAGCAAATTTTCTCCTAAGGATAGATTCAAGAAAAATTAAAAGAGTTTAGATGTTTAGAGGAGCTTATTCAGAATGGCACAAAAGTGGAAACAATCCAAAACTAACACACTGCCATCGAGTCAGTGCTAACTCATAACAACCCCATAGGGCAGGGTAAAACTGCTCCGAGTTTCTGAGACTAACCCTTTCTGGGAATCTACAGCCCTGTCTTTCTCCCAAAAAACAGTTGTTGGAATTGAACTGCTCACCTTGTGGATCTCAGCTACACAAGTAACCACTGCCACCAGGTCTCCTGGGATGCCACCCAGATGCCCATGAATGACTTTGAATGGATAAAGTGTGGCACGGCCAGATAGTCACCTTCCTGTAAAACATGGACGAACCTTGAAACCATTAAAAGACGCCAGTCACCAAAACTCCTGTATTGTGTACTTTCACGTGTATAAAATATCCAAAATAGTCAAATCTGTAAAATTAGGTGGTTGCCAGGGTGGAATGGGGTACCTATTACAGGCTCAAGGATTTGGGGTAGAGGATTTAGAAAATCCTCTAAAATTAGATTATGGTGATGGCTAGATAACTGCGAATATTCTAAAATCTACTTAATTATTTAAACACATTTTTTAAAGGATGACTTGTATGTAAATTACATCTCAGTAAAGTCATTTAAAAAGTACAAAAGCATTCAAACATTTGAGAAGTGAGGAGTTCCTATGTAGCAAACGGATACCCTGGTCTCATTTCTCTCTTCCAGTGTGTCATGGGCAGGAAGTTTTTAAGCTCCTGGCTAAAAAAATTGCCTCCAGAGAAGACGGCTGACTTTCGTGTGTTTGAAGAAAGCAGGACCTGTTTGCCTGGTATTTGTATGTTTGTAGGTGTCCCAGCAGGAGAGGTTTCGAAACAGTGGTCCATTCTAACTTCAGTGATCTCTCTCCACCTAGAATGAGCGGAGAGATGGAAGTAGCACACATCTGTTGTTAGTGCCACGGAGCCGGCTGCCACCCGTATGGACCATAGGCTCTGTGCGGCCTCACCACTGGTCATTGTTGCAGCCCTCAAGGCAGTCCACCTGAGGGCCTTCTTTCACACTGCCCTTGTTATCAAAAATAAGGTCCTTCCCCAGACTGGTTTCCCCTGACAAGTTCTACCTTGAATTAAAAAACAACAAACTCAGGTTGTTCACTGTGTGCCAAACTAGAAATCCCTGTGGGCTGCTTGCTTTGAGTTGAGCACTCGGGAGATTATGATTACCTGGAATTGACCATTACTGCTCACCAAGAAGAAAGTAAATCACTTTTACTGACTTACGGGACTTGTATACAACGTGCTGTGCTGTGTCTTGTCCTGGGGTTTCATGGAGAAACAGTATTAAAGGGAAATGACGCTTCCCCTGAAAGTTACAACTGAAAGAGGTATGTGTGTGATCTTTTATCTGACAAAGGTAGGTATTTACAAAACAAAACACATGGTTTTGTCTTTTTAAGTTTTATTTGATTGATTGGCTTCTACAATCCACGCTTTACAAGAAGAAATGTATTTACCTTTTAGGAACTTTGGCTTGATTCGTCAAAGTAACAGCATTAACTGAGCTTGCATAGTGTCTAGCTATTACAAATGATGTTCTCTCTGTCCGATGGCTCAGTAGTTCCCAAGTGGTCACCAGCTTGAACAAAGCCCGTTGCAGGGTGCGCCGAGAGGCCTGGCCAGGTTGGAGCAGCGTTTTGGTTTGGTTTTCATGCAGTGCCCCAGTTTCTACTGTAAAGCAGTTGGAGTTCACACTTTCACAGACACGGGCGAAGAATGGCTGGGTGAAGGCACTCTGAGGAATTGTCGCTTTGGTCAACAACACAAATGAAAATGTAGGCTGAACGAAACATTCTCAACTCAGCATTTGCTAAATAAGGAGGTTTTAACATCTGTAGTAGTGAGAGCAGTTTTTGGTGCTTGAATGAGATACAATTCAAGCTTGAATGAGACAAATTCAAGGTGACAATAAGTAAAATAGACAAATAACAGGCCCTCGTGGATATTAACATTTTACTCCAAAGAGAAAGTATAAGCACGAGAACATTGCTTTCTCGTGGGCTACCAAAGTAAAAGGTGATGAATTCATAATTATTCAGCCTGTCACATGTTGGCTCTGTGATGCAAGTGTGCACTGACGAACACTCTGAAAGCCTTGCAATGTGACACGTTTTCTGCGTTCTACACCACTTGTTCCCGCCCTGCTATCACACGTTCCAGCCCGCGTGAGGCACAGCCCACATGACAACTTCCACCTGGCTAACAGCTGCATTCCCAAGGAAATGTACAGTTGTGGCATCTGCTCATTTGAACAAGCAGCACGAGAATATAAAAGAGGGAAAAATACACGCTGGGCTTAGGGTTCCGATTTTGACAATGCCAAGAAACAACACAGGAAGCACACCTGTGGCAAGCATCAAGCGATTGCATCGAGTCTTGGGAAGCTTTTGTTTCCTTTGGGGTGAAAGCAGGGCTGGCCCTGATCTATTTCCTCTCCCTCCTCCACCTAGGAAGATTACCAAGGACAAGAGCCACACAATGTGCCACACTAGGTCCACTGGACTTTTCTCATTCCTCCCTGGACAATTCCTTCCCTGTGACCTTTGACCAAAAGAAAAATCCAGTTCACAGTGACAAGCTGCCTGCTGCCCAGGGTCAGGAAGCTGAGAATCACAGTACTCCTACAAGGAGTACTCAGTAGTCTATGAGCAGAGTCAAAGCTCCGTTTCATTTCAGTAGTCGACACCTGAAGGACACACATCCCTTAAGGTGACAGGCACAGTTTGATCAGTGGCCCACTCAAGCACTCGTGTTTTCTTTGAGGATCAGGCAGTTCCTGATATTTCTGTAGAAGGCCTCCAAAGAGGTTAGATGCTAGCTTGTCGGGGTGGGTTTAGAAAGGTACCATCCAAAATCTTGATTCTGCATTAAAACGAGTAATGAGTTGGGAATAAAGTGCCTTTGGTGTGGCCAACTGAGGAGGGGCTGGCAGACGGTAGGGACAAGACAGGGTGGCAAGCATGAAAATACACTCGGCGGCGCGAGCATGGGATTAATTCCCCAAATCAGGTTCGGTGGCGTTCACACAGGAGACCTGCCAGCACGAGGGTTCAGCACTTGCCTGCTAACTCGAAGGCCGGTGGCTCAAATCCACCCAACAGCTCCGTGTCTGGCAGGTTACAGTTCCACAAACCCTGCAGGGCGTTGCCCCGTGGCATCACTGAGCCGACAGGGCTGAATCACTTTTACCACCAGCAGGTTCTCTGTCCGGCAGTGGTGGCTATCCAAAATAAAAAATAAGAACCTGATTGGCAAAAAAGGTGGGGGTGGGTTAAAAGCCTACTCTGTTTTACTCGGTGCCCCATGACATGCTCCCTCTGGCTCTGTGAGCAATATTTTATTCACACAAGTATCAGTTGTGACTTGGCCGACTGGTGTTTATAAAAACGGAATTGACATTTCCATGCATACAGGGAATTCTGAGGAGAGGAATACAATATTCCAAAGGACAAGAAGTTTAATCCTTACAGTGCCATGTCACGGAGGAACCAAACCACTCCAAACTGCCATCCAGCTGATGGACTCCTACCGATCCCGCCGTAAGGCAGGGCAGAGCTGCCCCTGGCAGTCTCCGAGGCGGTAAAGCCGGAGCAGAGCCTCATCTTTTTCCTGAGGAGCAACTTGTGGTTTTAAACTGCTGACCTCAAGGGTAGCAGCCCAATGAGTAAACCCTGTGCCCTCGAGGATCCTTTACTGGGTAGCCAACCAACCAAACTCACGTGATTCCTAACGACCCGATAGAGCAGGATGGAGCTGCCGCTGTAGATTTCCAGCACTAACTTTTCTCCCTCTCTCGTCTTTATCCCGAGGAGCTGCTGGTGGTTTCAAACTGCCCATCTTGTGGTTAGCAGCCCAGTTCATAACCACCAAGCCACCAGGACTCCCTAAACTGGGTCACTGTCCTAAACCACGACACTGCCTTTGGTAGCCTAACAATCACTGTAAAGCAGAGGACAGCTTCTGAGGTTCTTCCAGGAACTCGGTTCAAAACGAAGTATTTTTTAACAAAGAACCTATTTATGAAATTTAGACCAATAAGCTCAAATATAGCAAGGTATTCTGCAATCTCTGGGCTTGATTTTTTTTTTAACTGAACTTTCAGGTAATTGTTAGGTGTGTAGTTTTTCCTTTTATCTGTTTAAAAAATTGCTAACGGTTTTTCAAAATTTCTGAGCTCAACATGCAGAGACCATGATCAGACAATGGGAAGCTTTCATTTGAGCTCAGGAATAGTGCGATTGGCCAAATATTACTTATTGTATATATATTCTGATTTTCACATTTTGAAATACACTGAATCTTGTGACGTGAAAATCCCACCTGGTTACACTGGCATTATTTTGGAATCTCAGAGAAAGGGTTTAGTGCATCTTGTAAGTGACGGCGCTTTGAGAGAGACCTTCCTGTCTAGGCACGGCAGGTGTGTGTATCTGAATGACTGGTGCACGTCCACAAGGGGTTGCTTTCTGTCCTTGTTTGTGGGTTTGTATTGTCTCATACAATCCTGACTTTCAGGGTGTAGGCTTTCCCATCATTCGGCTCCCTTGATCTGAGCTTTTGAACTCCAGATGAACATGGCTGCTTCCGGTTTGGAGCAGGTAAACCTGAAACGAGGCAAGCGGCCCCTGGTTCCAGCTTAATTGTTGACGTCTTCCTAGCTCCGGGGCATGGAGACGTGTGTCTGACACGTTTCAGACGGAGACATGCTTTCCAAGGCCAGTCTGCTCTCTGCACACAGCGGGCCCCTGGGGCCCAGGCTCTCCGCAGTTGCGAAACCTCATCTCAAGAGACCGTTCTTGTGCCACGTCCTTGGTCCTAATTTTCTTTCTGCACCTTAGTCCTTAGTTTAGCAAGTTCCTCTTCTAAGCTTTTGATGTGCTCCTGCAGGGTGGCCTTGTCTTGCTGGGCTTTTTGATTGGCTTGGCTCCGTGCTTCTTCAATCTTCCTTTCATACCACTTTTCCATCTGGGTAGAAACAGCCTCAAAAAAGTACTGTGTCAGCTCCAGGGCCTGGGAGGTGTCTCGGCCCTGCGGGGCTGTCTGCTCGCCACCCGCCGCCCCACAGCTCGTTCTGGATGCTGATGGCTGGCCTCGGGGCCTCGCCTGCCCACTTTTCCCAGACTTCTTGGTTTGGGTGCTTCTGTTGACGCAGGGCCCAGCCTGCTGCTGATCACCGGTGACTGCCGCATGCGAGGCTGTCCGGACCCTGACGCTCCTGAGTCTCGAACCTGCACAGTCGGAGGAAGCCAGCTCCTGCTGGAGGCTGTGGGCGGCCGTGGAGCCCGGGGCCTTCTCTTTGGGCCTGACCACCTGAGGGGAGCCGTCGGATGTGGCTACCGGACCCGCAGTCACCACCGATGGATCCGCACCTGGATTCAGGAGCAAGAAGCAGAAGTCAGAGCAGATCCCGCCTTCGCATGGCCATGTGGGGAAGGGATTTGTTGGCGGACTCCTGTAAAGCACAACCCAGTGGGTGATTCCGAATCCCCACCCACTACCAACACCAGTTCCTTTGTGAGGTTCCTCCCTTGTCTGTCCCGCTGTGCTTCTTCTCAGGAGCCCTGGTGGCATAGTGGGTTATGCACTGGGCTGCTAACCCCAAGGTCAGCAGTTTGAAACCACCAGCTGCTCCACAGAGGGCAGATGGGGCTGTGAAGATTTAAACCCACAGGCTCACGATGAGTAAATGGGGTCTGCTGCCCCTTCTCCCCTGACTCCCATTTCGGCTCGCCAGGGCTTTCCTAGATACCACGCAGCCACACTGGTGGCACAGAAGCCAAAACAGTGGATAGGCTGTCCTTAAGACTGTCTCCATCCACTCTAGCAGCCTGGGGCCCGTTTCTGGATGGCAAAGGTTGGCACAACACATGAGGCGGCTCAGAATACAACTGGGCATTATCTATGAAAATAAACATCCCCCTTCTTTTCACTTCTTTCCACCCACCAGCCTCAGTGTCTTCTTCCCTTGGCCCAAGTGCCAGTCTGGCAAGGGGGCCCTACTTCTCACACCCAGAGCTCACCAACCACTCAGAGCGTGAAAAACGTCAGTGTTGTGAGCATGAAAAAGATTAACCCCCAGTCCCAGTGACGGCCTGTGGTGATACAACACAGAAACCAAAACAACCCCCAACACTCGCAGTGGCTTCTAACTCACAACAACCCATGTGTCACCTCAGAACTTCTCCACCCGGCTTCCTTGACTGTGATCTCTACAGACGCAGCCCACCAGGTCTGTCTGCCGTGGTGACTTGGCGTGAGTTTGAATGGCCAGCCTACAGGTAAGTAGTCAGGCTACCAACCATGTGTGCCATCCAGACACCTAACACAAAACTTGACACATCACAACCCCCACGGAGGTCCGGTGATCAGGGCTCCGAATGTCCTCCAAGTTACTGGGGTTGTAAACAAAATTACTATCCTGGAAACATGCTCTGCTCAGAGGGTCTCCTTGCTAATACCTGGGGCAGGGTCAAGACATGGACCGCTCTTTAATGAGGTTTCACATGGGCAAACAAAGGTGAACAGCAGATCGTGAAGAATAAACAGGTAAGAGGCACACAGGGTGAGGGCGACAGAGCCCTGGTCGGAGGCACTGGCCTGTTCATCACCCCTCATCTTTGACGTCCACAGCCGAGATCACCACGCCGGACCTGAAGCACTGTATCGATGACCAGTAATTCTTTTATTCTTTCAGACTTCTGTTCTTTTTGAGCACTGCAGCAAGAATGCTTCAAGATGACAGGAATTCAGCGGACAGGAGTAAGCAAACCAGACATGGGCCTTCCTTGCCCATCTGCAGAGCTAACGTGACAGAGCTACAAGCCAGCGTTCCCTCCAGCCCATATCGCAGACGGCCGGCTGACTGATGCAGGCGGGAGGGCAGCGGGCCAGGATCATCACCTTGGGTAGAAGGGCTCCCTGCAGCTACGTTACCTGTAGACGATTCGCAAGTAGATGGTGTGGACTTCGTCCTGGAGGCTCTTGACTCTCCAGAAAGCTTCAGCTCCAGATTTTGAATCTTTAACATGCACCAAGTCTTTAATTCCTCCACCAACGACATCTGAGAACACAAATTAGTGCACAGAAGGACCAGGTGAATCCCATCCCTGGTTTCTGCATCAAAACTGGGCGTGTGAGCCGGTGGGGAGTCCCCCACCCTCCCACAGGCCACAGCCTTCTCTGCTTGTCCTCTCCAGACAAGAACTCGTTGGGCGCCCACACACATCATTGCCTCAGTTCTTCAGTAAGTGAATGAGAACCACTTTAAACTCAAACACCCAGCGCCACTCATCGGTCAAAGCCAACATTTCTGGCTCTCACCCACGTGAGAGCTCCACCTTCACTGTCCTAGGTAGACCATGACCTTCTTGAGGACAGGAGCCATGTCTTGTAAAATACAGCATAATCGTGTTTAAATGCACAATAACTATAACTGGTTCAGGGAAGAGATCTCATTTTTCCAGCATGTTCCATAAACTGGTCAATCGATTGCAGTACATTTGATAACAAAGGTAACCTGAACACTCAGCTCTTCTCTTCATTTGAGAATTAAGAAAACACCATGTTATCAAACAGAAATATTCTTGAGTTTTCAATGATAGCGCTGAATCTTCTAATTCAAAGGACAAATACGATGAGTGATAAGGTAGAGTGTCAGATACTGTTGTTGCTGCTAATTTATCATATAATTTTTTTAAAGATAGAGAACAAAACATTTGACACGGTAACCCTGTTTAGGTGGATAAATCAGTGACCCTAGTTTACCCACCATGCTAGCCAACAATCACTACACAAGTTTTTCCTCACCCCAGAACCTTTTAAGCAGCAGTTCCATTTCTTCCTCCCTTTGGCCCCTGGTAATCACTACTAAACCTTGGGCTTTGGACATTTTTTTTCAGATATTCCATGTAAGTGGGCTCATACAGTATTTATCCTTTTGTGTCTGATTTATAATAAGGAGCCCTGCTGGTGTAATGGTTAGGCTGCTAACAAAAACGTTGGCAATTTGAACCTACCCCGTTTTGTGGCAGAAAGACCTGGTCATCTGCTTCCAGAAAGGTTTACAGCCTAGAAAACACTGGCACTCACACAGTCCAAAGACAAAGGGCCACGAACAAACGTACCACCGAAGAAGACATGCAGGTGGGCAGCACGCCGGAGAGATGGATGCTCAAGGTCATTTGCCGTTAGAAAGATGAAAATGCAAACGACAGCGTGCTACTATCTCATCTGCACCAACAGCGATGATCGGGAAATGACCGATGTGACGGGGGGACTGTGACTCTTACAGACCAGCGCACGACTGTCAAGTGGTATGGCCGCGATGGGAAATGGCACGGCGGGGAGGGAGCCTTAGGGCTGACTGTGATGATGCCTGTACAACTCTTTAGAGGCGGTTTAACTGTGGAAGTGAAT